CTTATACCCTCCAGGGATGCCATTCCTGAGAATTCCGTGATTGGTTCACTGCCCCTTCACTGCTAGCGTTGGGGTCCTCCTTTGCACCCTCTAGGACACCCTCCTAGATAGGAGTTTAATACTGTTTTGTCCTAGTTAATTGGAAGGATGGCTGACCTTTTCCAGGCTGCAAACAGGCCCCCCTCTCCTACCCCACTTGAAGACTCTCTCTAACCCCCCTCACCTCTTTTCTCATAATCTGCCTGCTGTGGAGGAGGATTTGGAAGACCTGTCTGTGAACATTTCTGCCAAGCTAAAGGACATTATTCCAGTCCCTGTGGATGCAGTGCACACATGTTTACAGCTAGAGTCACCTGCGTCGACCATTTAAGGTCACTAGTCTGGGGTCCCTTTTAAAATGCCCAAACCTCCAAAAACGTTCCCAGTTCACTCATTGTTACAGTCTGTGTTGTATAATGACTAGGAGCATCACAAAAAACTGTTCAGTACCCCAAAAAGGTTTGCCCTACAATATCCTATTGAGGAGTAGGCTGTCCTTCTTGTGGACCCAGCTATTTCTTGCCTGAACAAGACCCTCACTGTCCCTGTTGAGGACATTCCAGCCTTTAAGGACCCCACAGACATGAGGTTAGAATCCCTCTTCATGACACTGTTTGCCTTTGCGGGTCCTACTATGCTATTATGCATAGTTGCCACTGCCATTTTGACAGATTTGCCAGGTTAAGATCCATTGCTAGGAATCCTGGATCTATATTGACAGATTTTGAAGTTCTTAACCATTTAGGGCTTTTTCTTGCGGCCTTTCTTTTTTGCGTTAATGGTCTGCCAGATGCCCTTTGCCAGATTTCCCGGATGAGTCTTCTTTCTACCTTCCTGCCCCAAAAGAAGCCTAAAACTTCTGTAGCTAAACCTTCCACTTTCTCTTTTAAGAAGAGTTTCTTTTGTCTGCCTTAGGGTCCAAGTTCAAGCAGGGCTCACAGTTCAAGCGCAAGGCCTGGTCTTCTAATTCTGCCAAGTTCTGGGAAGAAGTCCTCCTCACATTGAAGGAGCTCCCCCACTTTCACAAATGGTGGGGCATGTCTGGCAGCCTTCTCAGCTGCTTGGACCCAGGACGTCCCAAATGCCTGGGTTCAAAGTGTTATGACCAAGGGCTACAAGCTGGAGTTTCGCTTTCTGCCTCCTCCTCGTTTCCTGTTTTTCTCTATGCCAAAGTCTCCCAGAGACGTTTGGATTTTTTCCACTGCCTTTAGATAAGCTCCTCTCTCATGGAGTCATTGGGACTTGGGATGTTGACGCCCAAGTCCTGAAAGACAGGGGTCTTTTGGACACTGTAATTTCTAATGCAAGGAAATTGACCTCCTGCATGGTCTACCATTGCACCTAGAATGCCCATTTCACTTGCTGTGAGGCTAGAAAGTTCCATCCTAAGAAGTACTACGTGGGGCACATTCTATCCTTTTTTCAGTTTGGCTTGGACCCATGCTTGACCTTGAGTACTATAAAGGGGGAGATCTCTGCCTTGGTGGTTATCATTCAGAGACTACTTGCATGCCACTCCCTGGTGAAGGCTTTTGTGCATGGGCACTCTCCTCAGGCGCAGCTGAGAGGGGGCCGGGCCTTGCTGTGCCCCCTTGCCATGCAAGCACAGGGCACCAGGTGGCCAACACAGCCACGGATCGTCGGGGAGAAGAGGGGCTGCACAGGCTCTAGCTTGATATGACGCCTCAGGTGATGTCACACGCCTGTTGGGGGGGGCGCAATTTTTTGTTCTTGCCTCGGGTGCAAAAGGAGCTAGCTACGGATTTGCTGCTATTCACCTTATTTAGGACATTGTTTTACAATGTCTTGCGATTTTCCTGCACCAAAACATTCTAAGGAGATATCCCTTCAATGACTGGATATGGTTAGAGCTGTGAGAGTTTATCTCTGGACTACTGTTTTTTACTTGCAAGTCTGCCCCCCTCTTCATCAATCCTGAAGGATTCCACGTGAGACTACAAACGTCCTTGTTCCACCTTAGCCAGGTGGCTTCGTAGGACCTCTCCTAGGCCTACAATCTTAAAGGAAAAGACCCTCCTTTTTTCAGTCAGGGTACATTCTACCACAGGCATTAGTGCTGCCTAGCCATTGCAGCTTCAGTCTTCCCAATCTGTAAGGTTGCCACCTGGTCCTCTGATCACACTTTGGTCTAGTTTCTACCAGGTGACTGTTCAGTGCCAGTTTTTGCCATAAGGTTCTGCAGGCGGCTTTTTAGTTCCTGGGCTCTACTTTGTTCTGTTTCCCTGTTGGGTTTATTATTGTTCTTGGGCTGTTACAATTATTTTGGTGTGTTGCCTGCCCCACTTTTGAACTGCTTTTGAGCATCCAAGTGGTTGCAATATTTAATCCCTGTGCATGTGATGTGCGATCAAGAAAACAGGATTTTTGTCTTACCTCTAAAATCCATACATCACAGAACCCTCCCTCCTGTCTTTTGTGGTTCCACTCTGTACTCCTTGCTACAAAACTGAGACAGGCTGGGAGTAAAATGATTTACCAGTATCCAATCACCTGAAGGTCACTGCATAACCAAGTGGTTTCAAGATTACCTCCCTGTGCCCTGTGATGTACTCCTCCAAGAAACAGATTTTAGAGGTATGATAGAAATCATGTTCTTCTATATCCTCGCCTATAATCCGTGTGGCTTGTTATATAAAATTGTCTACATTCCGTGCAGACAGCTCCAGCTTGATGTTCACAAATGACTCATGGAGTTATTGGTTGTGTATTTACTGTTACTATTTTGTTGTAGTATGGCATTTCCTTTTGAATTACTGTTTTGCATAGCGTTGCACTATTATTACATATAATTTTTTTGTGTGTATTTTCACATTTAGGTGTCAGCAGCTAGTTAAATATTCACAATTAGATTAGTGTGGAAACTTATAACAACCATGTTTTGCTTTGCCTTTTTATGGGTCAGTCCACTCATTGAAAATGCACTCCATATTTGGCAAATATCTGAACCCAGGAGTTGTTAAGCAGCAAGACTGAATTAAAATACAGCGTATATAATATAAAAAAAACCTGATTTAAATTTAGCTTTATTCTATGATTTAAAGGCTAACATTACTATAACTTTATAACACTTTTTTTTTTTTTTTTTACATTTAAATGAAACACATTCTCACACTAACTATACAGCATATTTATAAAGCAGTGAATGTGACCTTCGCCAAATATTTGCTGCAGGTAAAACATGTTTTTAAAATACAGAAATAACAACCTAATGAATGTTTGGTAAATGTTACATTCACTGCCCTTGTAAATTTAAACTCTTAAACCTAATGTATCCAGACCAAACAAAGACAAATTGCCCAGCAAAGTATTTTCTTTAAATTGTTTTTTTTTGTGTGAAAAGTTCTGTTTATTCAATTTTGCATAAAATACACGGTAACACCCTGAGCCTAACAGAGTACCTGCAGGGCATCCTGTGGGGACTGCCCCGTGACTTGACAGCCTACCCACGTGTAATTCAAACAGTAACGGTAATGGTGGAGGGAGTCAGGTTAGGAAGGAGCCATGCAAGACCTGTAATCTCCCACCCTTTCCACTTCTTCCCCAGTTTCCCCAAGTGGTTTCAATCACAACTCTTATGCGCGGCAGTCCAACCTCCCCAAACCCTATCGAATTTATTCGGGCATCCTCTGCTAATGTAAGCTGCTTTATACAGGTGCAGGGATGAGTCAACAATGCCTCTCCATTCCGCTAGTGATGGAGGGTCTTTCCGCTTCCAGTGCAGGACCACCAACTTCCTAGCATAAAACAGCAATACCCCGGTCAGTATGCGTATGGCAGTGGTAGGAGCCACTTGCTCTGTAAGCCCCAGTAAGCATACGGAGATGGTTCGTGGGACAGGAAGTGTTATCACCTGTGAGATAAATTCTGTGACCAATTGCCAGTATCTAGCAATCCCCGGACAATCCCAGAAGATATGCCGGAAGTCGGCCGGCTGTGCCGAGCATCGCCAACAGGATAGAGAGGGATCTAGATAGATCTTCGCAAGTCTTGCAGGTGTGTAGTATACTCTATGCAATATTTTAAATTGTACCAGCCGATCTCTAACCGACACCAAGAGGGAGAAGGGGTAGTCCCACACCTCCTCCCAGGCATCATCGGAGAGATCCGGCTCGTCCAGCACCCATTTTACCTTGCAAGAGAGTCTATGGACCCCCGCCGCGTCCGACAGGGCCTGGTACACTGTTGATAAAGGTTTCCGGACCCCCTCTCTTCGAAGCATGGACTCCAGCGGCGTAACCGTGAGAGAGCATTTTCTTTACATTGTTGCCAAAGCACTTACTCGTCATGTTTCCAACCCTCTCAGCTTTGCTTCTCTAAACTTCCTGTCCAGTACAAGATCACAAAGGTCAGCACAGTCACCAGCAGCTGTCTATCTACTGCCTAGGAGGGCTGCGGTGCAGGGGTGTTTATTGCCTGGGTATTTGTGGAGAGGAGATACACACAGCTTACTAACACAAAAGGGTGGCTCCATAGGACCCTGCAAGTGAAATAAGGGTTCTCTGCAAGAAGCTAAAACTTTTAAACATCAAGGCGCAGCATCCATTTTAACTGATTATATCAGCATTTGTAATAGCTTGAAGACCTTTGACTTTAATTTCACTTTAAGGGTTTTCTAACCTTCTGTATTTGTCTTTCTCAGAGTGCAGCAAAGATGATTAAAGAGACTATGGACAAGAAATTTGGCTCATCGTGGCATGTGGTTATTGGAGAAGGTTTTGGTTTTGAGATCACACATGAAGTCAAGAACCTTCTGTACATGTTCTTTGGGGGCAGTCTGGCTATTTGTGTCTGGAAGTGTTCATGAGGGATCTGACACAAGAAACGTTCTCTCTACTTCTTACCTTCTACTCAGGATGTGCTGCTTCAAAGCCTCGCTCAGGAAAGAGTCTTTGGCTGGGCTCTCTATCATTTGGGGTGTCAGGGAGTCTCTTCTTTACTCACTGGGAACCAGAGGGATTTGCAATTGATTTGCAGGCACCTCTGACTTGAAATTCAAAAGAAGTTGATTGGTTTGGCTCTTGCAATACGTATGTAAGTATATTCTTCTGAGCCTCAAAATAGTCAGTTACACCAAATGAAGAAAATGAACTGCTGTCAGTTTGCTTTTCCTATGCTTTGACCCTCAGAGGCTTTTGTAACAAGTAATAATGTATGCACAGGGTTTTACTGTCCTACTGGCACTGCAGCTCTGGTTTCCCAAATACATTCCATGTTCACCGTCATTTGGCACCTTCTTTTCCCACTTTGATTTTTTTTTTAATTAATTCATAATTGCTTTCCTTGTCAGTTTGCCCTCCTGCTATTCTCTATATCACACATTCTCTTATGTAGAAGTAATTTTTACCTTCTCCCCCTTTAACAAGTGGACTCGGAGCCTGTCTACGGAGAAATATGTTTTGTTTTTCATTTCAGTATATTGTTTCTTTCTTATACACCCACATAGGTTTGTGCAATGAAAAAGGTGACCTGTTATCAAGGCAAATTCAGACTTCTAGCATGTTAAGAAGTAAAATCTGTATGTCGTATTCTCAGAATTAGTTAGCGTGACACTATATGCAGATTGGATTCATTGGGGGAGGTTGATTTTATTTGTAGTGGTGGTTGACCTGTGAGGTTCTCTTGGTGGAGAATCTTGTTTTAATATTGTATATATTAGCTAACAATTCTGAGTACAATATTTAGGGCTGTTTTAAAAACAAATTGTGTGTGTGTGTGTGTGTATATGTATATACATATACATATATACAAACATGCTTTGTTTCTTCTAGACATGTGTGTGCTTGTTCATGTGTATTTTTACTATTGCCTTTGTCTGCCATTTTTCACTCCCCACAAACGCTCTGGCTGCATATCATTCCATCTAGCTTCCCTTTTGTCCATTTGACGTAGATATGCATCATTGACTCTCCACAAGCCATAAATAATAGATCAGGAGATTTAGGATACCACAAAGAAGCCTGCCAGCTACTAGTCCTTAATTCCTCTTGTTCAGTGGCAGAAACATGAAGCCATGTTTCTTGGAAGGATTTTATACTCTGCTGGAACTTCAAGTATGCTGTTTTTTTATGTTAAATCTGGTTGTACAATGGTTGGCGTTCTACTTGTCATTAATAAACTTTCTTGGATTTTTTTAAAGAAAATAATTATTTGTGTATAAGTCTGCCTACTTTTGTGCCATAAGCATTGCAAAGGGACTCGCAAATAAACTTTTTTTATATTTTATGTCAGTAGCTTATCTTTGGAAGGCTGGACATATTTGAAGGTCTGTACAAACCCATCAAAGATGCATTCTCTATTGATAATAAGGTCTTGTCTAAACATATATGTACATATAGGGTTTACTTTTTTAAATCTGCACATTGCCCAAAACATTTTAATTGTACCTGTATGTACCTAATTCACCTGTATGAATAAGCTTCGATGCACACCCCTCTAAATCACAGCTGAAGTTGCCAAGCATTAAATGCTGCCTTATGTGGTGAGTTGGCTGTTTGTCCCATCCTCCAAAAGTTTAAGTTTTAACAAAAGGCCCATGGCTTAGAAAAGAGGGAGACAATTTACATACAGGTATTATCTAACCAAAAGAAAAGGCACAGAGCACCCATCCATTATTATATAAAATTGTATAAAATCAGTGGTTATACTTAATGTTCCTACAAAGGACACTTGCACTACAGAAAATACTGTCTAATAGGGAACATGAGCCACAATTAGGGACATGCAATGTCCCTAATTGTGGCTAATGCCACTTTGTATGGCATAGAAAAAAAGGAAGTGCATGGCAATAATGGCGGGATGTTCCCTAGACAGTTTATCAACTGTGGAACAGAATTCGTCATATATGGCCTTTATATGCCCTTGTAGCAGGTTTTATGTAGGAAGAACCACCGGGGCTCTTAGGGTGCCCACACACCTTACGATAATCGTACGATGATCGCGGGAAATCCCGCGATCGTACGATTATCGTAAGGTGTGTGGAAGCTGTGCGACCTCTACTACTGTAAGGTCGCACGACTTTTAACTTACGAACATGTTTGAAAACCCGCCGAGCATCGTACGATGTTCGGCGGGTGTGTAGCATGTTCGTAAGATGAAAGCCGAACGGGCCGGTGTGCGCAAGCGCACACTGCCCGTTCGGCATTGCGGTCATCGGAAGCCCGCCCCTCAGGGGGGCGTGGCTTGCGATCATCGCAAGTACGATCTGCCTGTCCAAGATAGGCAGATCGTACGTTTTTTTTTTAAGTACCTTACAACCATCGCAAGACAAAAGTGCCCAGCATTAGAGTCAGATTTGGGGAACATGAGCGCAATATTAATGAAAAAAAAAAAAGCACAACATCATTATGTACCTAGACACTTTCAGATATACCATAATACCAACCTGGAAAATTTGAAGGTGTTTGCGATTGAAGGGATCTCTGATATGGGTGATGAGGGATTTTGATACAAAAAGTTCTGGAAAAGAGAAATGCATTGGATTTACAGGTTGAATTACAAGTACAACATTTGTGATATATAGATATATATGTCCGCTCTCACAAGCTGACATGCCAGAGAAAATGACATTGCACACGAAGGCTGCTGGGCACTGCTTTGCGTGCAGTGTGTCACAGCCTTAAGGGTGTAGGTGGGTAGTTTGGGTGGGAGGGGGGAAAGAGATCAGTGGGGGGTTAGGAACATCATAACCTCATCAATTACAGCTGTTTTAAAAAAGTTTTTTATTTTTAGACTGTAAGCCCTCATGGGCAGGGCCCTCCTTACCATCTTGTCTTGAGTTGTATTGCGATTGTAATGTCTTCCTTATATTGTAAAGCGCTGCGCAAACTGTTGGCGCTATATAAATCCTGTATAAGATTAATAATCTCTATTATTTAAATTATAGTAAAAAAAAAAAAGGGTGGGGGGGTGCTTAATGAGGAGCACCCCCCCCCCACACACACACACACACATTTTTTTTAACTAGAATTTAAATAATAGAGATACAACTATATTACATACTAGTGTGGAGGCAGGAGGTACTCAGGTGTCACAAACAGATACTACTATCAGTATATCACGCCCCTTCTTCTTCATCACTTCTACAGTACTGTGTCAGTATATCACTCCTCTTCGCCATCGCTGTATGATACAGTACTGTAGAAGTGATGATGAAGAAGGGGAGTGATATACTGACAATGTCACACACAGCACAGTACATGCAGGCTGCAGCTCTCCCCGATCTCTGTAGGTGTGTGTCGGATGAAGATCGCCACGGAGGCTGGTCACACTTTCTAATCTTCGGGCCGTGTCTCGCCCTCCAAGAAGCTCCCGGTCGGCCCTTTATTTACAACGGCGACCGGGAAGCTACTCGTCCAGCCCCGCCATCGAGTGCATTTTTCAAGCCGTGTGTGTGTGTATATCTATCTATAGATTTATCTATAGATAGATATAAAATATTACTGTGCAAAGGCACCTGTTTTAGGCAGGTGTGAAAAAATTCTGTAAGGTAAGAATGCTTTCAGAAATAATAGTGTTAATAGTTTATTTTTATTAACAAAATGGAAAGTACAAATCAAATCAATATTTAGTGTGACCACCCTTTGCATCCAAAACAGCATCAATTCTTCTAGATACACTTGCACACAGTTTTTGAAGGAACTCGGCAGTTTGTTCCAAACATCTTGGAAAACTAACCAATAAACTGCTTCCTGCTGCAGACAAATATTTCAAATTTTGACTCATCAGTCCAGTTCACCTGCTACCATTTTCCTGAACCCCACATTTTCATGCATAATTGAGTCGCTAAGCCTTGTTTCCCTTGTCATTTTCCAGGACAGCATCAGGCAGATAGGCTCCTCCATCCGGAACAGGAAACACATCACCCACACTTAATAAAAAAAGAGCACATCACTTGCATACCTCCCAGTTTTTCTGTGTGTTTCCTCCAGCCAAGCAGGACATCGTAATGTTTGTTCTTTTCAGCTAAGCCTTTCTGCTACTGGGCTTGGGTCTCCCTCGTCACCGCCAGGGACGGCGTACCTTAGGTGCTCATGGTTGGGGTTTCCAGGACAGTCCCCCCATCTGTCCGTAGGATTTCTTTTTTATGCCTGAGGTCCCCTGCAAAGTAATGCAAGACAACCATCCTGCTGGTGTAGAGGACACATTGGAGTCCCCCCCAGTACTGCGGCTACCCATCGGGGGTTTGTTATCTTGCTTGCCTTACCTGTTAAGTGGCCGTCATTCCCTCCATTGCATCCCCTAATGGAGCATTCGGCCAGGCTGCCATCTCGGTCCTTTTGCCCCCAGCTGGGGCCCTCGTGGTATTGAGGGTGGAGCCGTGTGGCGGTGCAGGCTGCCATGGCATCCCCTCGTGGAGCTTCTGGTGCGGGTGCGAACGCAGGACGCGACCGAAGGGAAAGACGTGCAGGGCGGTAGTGACGTTTTTCGTGCACTTCCAGCCTGACGTAATTCCAGCTGAAGGGGACATTAGGAACGATGGTTCTGGGTTCCGGCAGCCGCTCTGTCCATACTACAACGGAGATGAGAGAGAGATGGGAGAGGCAGCAGGACGCAGAACTCTTGCGGCCCTCACACCCACGAGGGGGGGCATCAGAAGCGGGGCACTGGAGGTGGAGTCCGCAGGGCTGGCGGCCCTAGGAGCAGACTCAATTACTACGGCAGGATTATCTGATGTGGTGGATCCTACTGCTAGCAGCTCTAAGGTAGGAGAAGGTGTTTTAATATTCATTCCTATCCTCTCTCTATGTTTGGGGTCTTTTAATGCATGAGGGATTTCGTTTTCGGGACAGGGCTCTATAGATGACGAAAGCTATTCAAGAGCTCCTGGATCAGGGGGTAATTTGTTCAGTCCCTGTTTTAAAAGAGAAGGAAGGGTTCTACTCCCATGTCTTTCTGAGGAGGAAACAGTCGGAAAAAATTCAGTCATTCTAAATCTCAAACCTCTGAACAAGATTGTTCCTTGCAAGAAATTCCAGATGGAATCGATTTATACAATAAGAGAGCTATTAATTCCAGGCATGTATCTGGTAACGGTGGACTTAAAGTGACATTAAACCCTCAGATTTTTTAATATAAAACAATACTGTAATGTGTACCTTACTTTAATCCATGGTTGTTTCAGGAGGGTTTAATGTCACTTTAAGGGATGCATATTTGCATATCCCTGTGGCAGAGGAACTCAGAGATTGTTGAGGTTCGACATCAAGGGTCCCGGAGAAATATTGCACTTTCAATACAAGGCTCTGCCATTCGGATTTTCTTCCGCCCCTGAGGATATTTACGAAGGTACTAGCAGAAGAGCAAGTGCCTATCAGATTGAAGGGAATAGGAGTCATCCCTTACTTAGACGACCTTCTATTTTTTGCAAACAATCGAGAGATCCTCAAGGTAAATCTCGATACAGCCATAGCACACCTGGAGAATCTGCGATGATTGATAAACAGAGAAAAATCAGGTGCAACAGATGCAAGTGCATTGGGTTGGGGTGCTCACTTTCAACAACACATGATCCAGGGCACTTGGAGCAGAATTTGGAGTTGCAAGTCCTCAAAAATAAGGGAACTAAAAGAATTTGCTCCCCGCATCAAAAGCTGTCATGTACAGATTTCATTGGACAACGTGACAGCTGTCGCATACCTAAACAAACAAGGAGGTACAAGATCCCATCTTCTCATGTCTCTGGCGG